ACTAATTTTCAGGGGTCATTTCCTGCAGGAGTGCACAGGAGCGGCGCTCCGGCAGTAAAGAGCCCAGGGGGCGGGCACATGCAACAAGCCCCACCCCCTGCTCCCCGCAGCCCTCAGTCAGAGCAAGAAGCAGCCAGGTAAATTGCAGAGCCCCCCGGTCCAAAACAGTCCAGTGGCACCTTTAAGACCAGGTTTTATTCAGGTACAAGCTCTCCCTCCTCTGCGAGGACAGATTCGCATGCTCCCCCCCAATAGCTAGCAACCCAAAACAGTCCAGTGGAGCCTGAGCGGTGAGTGTTGTCTTCTGACACACTTCCGGTGATGTCAGGGGGTGTGGCATATGCAAATAAGTTACGCTAATGAGTTATGCTAATGAGCTCCTGCACCTCTTTTTCTACGAAATGACCCCTGCAATTTTCATAGCCTTTTATGAAAAGTTTGTGTAAAGCTTTGGTGACGGAAAGGGCCAGCAAGTTGCAGCTGACTTATAGGGACTCCGTAAGGTTTCCAAGGCAAGAGGCGTTCAGAGGTGGTTTCCCGTCGCCGGCCTCTGTGTCATGACCGTCTCCTTCCTTGGTGGTCTCCCTCCAAATACCGACCTGGAGGAACCCTGCTTAGCTTCCGAGATCCGACGAGACAACACTTAGCATTTCAGAGGGTCCAAAACAGACCCACTAATCCTTGCATCAAGCCTAGAACATCCTTTTTACTGCGTGAGGCTGAGCCGAGAGCGAACACCAGGCAAGGTGGTGGATCAAAGAGACCCGAGTTTGAGTCCCCCCCCTGCCCTGGAAAGCTGCTGGGCCTAACCTACCTCGCAGGATTGTCGTGAGGATAAAATGGAGAGGACGGCAACGTAAGCCGCTCCGGGGCCCCTCGTTGGGGAGAAATGAAGTAAATCAGTATATAGATAAAGAGAAGTTGTCCAAGATGAGTTTGTGAGATAAGGTTTGCACTGGGGGCTGTCCTCAACTCCGTCTCTTAGTCACTGTGCCATACTAGCCCTTGAGTGGGTTTTTTTTTTTAAATAGCTTGAATTCGTTACCAGGCCTCCTCCCGGGGCAATTAGCTGGCTTTCCCCAAGCCTCTAAGACCAGGAAGCTGAATGGCCACAAAAGAGTGAATCACAAAATATCGAATGCCACACGTCAAGTTATTTACTCTCCCGAGAATGGAATGCAAAGAAGTAGCAAGATTACAGCCTGCGGGCTTCAGCCGCTTAATTCAGGAATGTTTTTCGAGCTTCCTGAACCGGAAAACAACAGAGCTGTAGAATGATATGGGAGAGGGAGAGGGAGGGAGACACAGAGAGAGAGAGATGCATAGTCCCTGGCCAAGCCGACTGCACTAACTTCTTTGCTAGCTGTATTGCATTTTCACCCTCAGGCTGGGCTTCTAGCGCTCCAGACCAAAGAGCCCCCTTTTCATGCTTTACGAGGCCCAAACATCAGGGAAAACAAAAAAAAAAATTCATTTCGCCAAGTCCTGCGATAGCCCCTGGCATCTCGCCCTTTGTCGCTTTGCCTGACCAGGCAGATGTTCTCCCAGCTGTGCGTGGGGGGCGCCTCCCCCGCAACCAGTCCCCCCCCACACCGCATCCTACGTAGGCAGTTTTCTTCTCGGCAACTTAGCAATTATGGAACGCCGAGGTCAAGGGAATCTGTGACGGAGGCTGGGTCCTGTCTAGACGTAACAACAAGAAAAGATTAAATACCATCATTCACGCAAGTGCTTATTATTTTGAACTTGTACGTCTCTCGCCACCCCTCACGCTCCCCCGGCAGCCTTGGTTTTTAGCTCCCCTTTCAAGGTGAAAAGGCAACTGCAGGTTTCTCAGCTGCGACTTGCAATGAGGGACTGGGAACGAATGTGCGAGCGCGCATGGTGCATACAAGGAGACAGCAATAATTGAGGCCTGTGCTTCGAGCCAGTGTTGCACGGCGCTTAGAGTGCCGGGATCTGGGAAACCCAGGTTTGAATCCCCGCTCTGCCCTAGCTCACCAGGTCAGGGAGTCAGTCACACACTTGCAGCCTACCTCGTAGGGATGTTGTGAGGATAAAACAGGAGAGCGGCACAATGTCAGCTGCTTTGGGTCCCTGTTAGGGAGAATTGAAGTAGATAGATAAACATGCAGACCATCTCTGAAATGGCATTTGGGCCTCGGCTAGGGTTGCCGGGTCTTACCTGGCTGCC